CACTAGTTGTACTTGGTTATTTTTTATAATGTTTTAAAATTGTATTTTATGTGTATGGATGTTTTTGCCTGCATGTATATATGTGCAAAACTTGTGTGTCTGGTTTAATCAAAAGTCAGAAAAGGAAATCAGAAGCCTGGAATTGGAGTTACAGACAGTCGTGAGCTTCCTTGTGGGAGCTGGGTATCAAACCTGGACAGCTCTCCAGCCCCTTAGCAGGTTATATAGCAAAAAAAAAAGGGACATGAAGATGGAAGAAGTATATGGGGTTGGGAGGGTAGGAGTTGGAGTTGGAGAGGGAAATGGATGTATGTGCTCATATTTCATTGTATTCACACATGAATTTGTAAAGAAACCATTTCAGAAAAGAAATTAGGAGCTAATGAAAATATGTAATATTTATACTATCCCTGACAACAAAGATACAATGCATTTGTAACAAAAGGAGAAAGAGTATGATATATATAGCTAAAGAATTTATTGTGGTTTTTATCATATTGGTATTTTTCCTTTTTTAAAATTAAAATTGGAAACAAGCTTGTTTTACATGTCAATCCCAATTCCATCTCCCTCCCCTCCTCCCCTGCACCCCACCAGCCTCCATCCCATCCCCTTTCTGTTCCCCAGGGAGGGTCAGGCCTTCCATGGGGAATCTTCCAAGTCTGACATATCATTTGGAGCAGGGCCTAGTCCCTCACCTGTGTTTCTAGGCTGAGAGAGTATCCTTCTATGTGGAATGGGCTCCCAAAGTCCATTTGTGTACTAGGGATAAATATTGATGCACTACCAGAGGCCTCATAGGAGGTCCGGGCCTCCTAATTGACACCAATGTTCAGGGAGACTGGATCACTCCATGCTGGTTTCCCAGCTATCAGTCTGGAGTCCATGAGTTCCTCCATGTTCAGGTCAGCTGTTCTGTAAGTTTCTCCAGCCTGGTCTTGCCCCCTTTGCTCATCATTCCTCCCTCTCTGCAACTGGATTCCAGGAGTTCAGCTCAGTGTTTAGCTGTGGGTGTCTGCTTCTGCTTCCATCAGGTGCTGGATGAAGGCTCCAGGATGGCATATAAGGTAGTCATCAATCTCATTATCAGGGAAGGTCATTTAAGGTAGCCTCTCCACTATTGCTTAGAGTGTTATCTGGGGTTATCTTTGTAGATCTCTGGACATTTCCCTAGTGCCAGGAACCTAAACTGTGGGTTCATGACAGGGTGAGGGGCTTCCAACAAGACTTATGACACAGTCTTCCTCCAGATGGGAGCAGCCCACTTCCCTCAAAGACTGGGAGATGAATCAGATAGTGTCATTTAGTAGCAATGAGATTGTGCTCTCTCTCTCTCTCTCTCTCTCTCTCTCTCTCTCTCTCTGTCTTTATTGAAGATTTATTATTTTAAATTATACGTGTGTGTATGTGAGTGTGCACATGAACATGTGTGCATTCATGGACAAATCTGGGTGCAGATTACCATCGCCTGGAGCTGGAGTTGTCAGCTGCCCATCACGGGTGCTGGGAACCAAACTGGTGTCCTCTGCAAGAGCAGCACATGTTCTTCACTGCTGAACCATTTCTCCAGCAAAGTTTCAATTAGTTTTGCAGCACTACCAAGAAAATACATTTTTGTTAGTGTTATAACCCAACACACACATACACGCGCAAACACACACACACATTCACATGTGCACACACTCACAGTGTGAGCACACTTACATATAATGCTTGGTGTTCTTAGGTATGCATTCCTTTTTTTCTTTTTCACGCCATCCAGGAAAACTAGACCAGCAAGAACCAAAGTGTAACAGGGCACTGGACTGGGGAGAAAGAATATCAAGGGGATTCTATAATATGCCAAGAGAAGGAAGACTTCCAGGAAGGGGCAGGTCTTGCTCCTCAGAAATGTACACAAACTTAACTGAAAAGACTATTGTGGAAGCACATGGACATTAGCAAATTGTGCTTTTAATTATTTGCTTTCTTATATCCTTTTTTAAATTTTGCTGAGATTTATTTGGCAGGCAACAGTATGTAAACTACATACATTGACCAAAAATGATCAGGAATACTCTGTAACCACATCCCTGGTTAAGCAATACAGCACGTTCAGAAACTTGTGGACCTTCAATCCTACCTGTCCACCCAAGGTAATCCTCACCCTGATCTTCACTTTCTTCCTTCTCTCTATTGTTTTTCCTCCCATGCAGCCATAAGTAATACAGATTATCTTGGAAGATTTTTGTTCTTTTAGGTAAATGAAATATGACTCTTCACTCCTTTGGGTAAATATAATGTCCATATCGATAAAATCCCCCCATTCCCTTTGTGATATGTAATTCCATAAACGAATATATCATTATTTTTATGTCTGTCCAGTTTTCTACTGATGAAATTTAGTTTGATTTCTTTTATGAACCCCAGGTTCGGCTATCCACACACTGATGCCAACAGGGGCCTCTCAATAGCACACAGATAGGAGGAGAATTGCTGAATCAGAAGGTGTAAAAACCACCACCTCAGCAGGCACGGGTGTGCTTTCTCACTTTAAAGATCTAGAAATAAGTTCAGAAAGAGGAAATAATGCACATTTATCAGTTGCCTTCAAACAGACATTAAATTAATGTAGTGAGTCCTGACCATTTTTAAGTAAAGTGAAAGAAAATCATCTGAAATCTAGATGATTAATAAACATGCAGAAAGATAAAATGCTTGTTATAATGCAAGCACCCTATGTCCCCTTTCTTTCTTGGTTGAGACAGTGTCTGATATACTTCTGTACACCTGATGCTGGCCTTGGTCCTCTAATCTCCCTGCTTCAACATCCCAAGTGCTCCCATGACAGGTGTGTTCCGCCACACAGCTGTTTTGTGGCCTTTTGGCTTTGGAGACATTGTGTCGTGTTGTCCAGGTTATCCTCCACCTATGCATATCTGAGGGTGACCTGGAATTCCTGACCTCCTGTCTCCCCTTTCCAAATGCTGGGATTATAGCCTGTGCCACCACAGGCAATCTTCCCGTTTTCCTGTGGCTACCACATCCCTGGGCAGTGCTGAGCATCGGGTGGTACTGGTCATTCACAGGAGTATTTTTATCTTTTTGTGCGTTTACTAACCATCCAGATTTCAGAGTATTCTCTTTCACGTTACCTTAAAATGGTCAGGGCTCATTACATTGACGTAATGTCTCTGTTTGAAGACAACTGATAAGATGTATATTGTTTCATCTCTCTGAACTTATTTCTGGACCTTTAAAATGACAAGAACCGTATCAGAAGGTTGCGAGGACGATCAGATATGTGGAAAGCACACACTGAGATGCTAAGCATTCAGTTTGCTCTCAGTGATTAACAGCTACCATCAATACAATTTTTTAAAAAGTAAAGAAAGCTGTTAAAGTCTGGGTCTGGGCATAGTCAACGGCTGGACTTCTGTCCAGATCGCAACTCAGTTCTCATCACAACAACACGGGACATCTTCCTTTATCTCAGAATGGCAGTGCTGCATGCTGACAAAGTGGGACCAGCTCGGAGTCTTTAGCTATCCAGAGAGTCTAAAAAGATTTAAAGAATTAATATTTCAGTAGTGTTTGAGTGTGCTCCCAGGACTAGGGCGTGGATGGCCCATGCCTGTAAGGATGCACAGGCCCAGCAGCCTCCACATCTTGCTGTTTGCACAGGATGTTTCCTGTTGCAGCAGGTTCGAATGGGTTTATAGTCAGAGTCTTGTAAACTAACATGTTGACCCCCAGAAAAGCCCCCGAGACAAATCCATGCCCACCACTCTCCACCTCTTCCTAAGGATCTCAACACTTTCTGATGAGATATTATAATGACACAAAGAACATTGGGATGACCTGTGGGATGTGGTAAGACTTTTTGCCCTATGGAACCTCTTATAAATAAGGCAATGTATACCGACAGACTGGGTTGATTTTACTTATACTCATGTGTGGTTGTGAAGATTCCCAATCAGACTGGTTTTTTTTATGCTGTTCTTTTTTCTCTCCTGCTTTTCCCTCCCCCTCCCCTCATCTCCCCTCTCCTGCATTTCCCTCTCTTCCTCTTTCCTTTTTCAACAGAATCTCCTATATTACAGGTTGGTCATATAGCCAGGGATGACCTTGGACCTCTGAAGCTCCTGCTTCCCGTCTCCCGAGTGCTGGGAATTCAGGTGTGTGCTACTACACCCGTGTTATAGGATACAGGAGATGAAAGTCAGGGCTTTGGGCACTATAGACCAGCTCTCTACTAACTGAGCCTCAACCTCAGCCCTGGGTATTTTGGTTTTCAACACATTCCCATAACTACCTAGAGACAACAACCCCATGGTTAGAGGTGGATACACAATTCAGGGAATGGCAATAAAGAGGGGAGAAAACTGGGCAGTCTTTCTACTACTATTAGCAACTGGAAGTTCAACAAGACATTTTCTTGCCTGAATCACTGCTTTTTAGAAATAGCTAAAAATTTATGCATTTTATATGAACTACTTCTTTTCAAAGAAAGTCATCTATGTATTTCTTACATACTTTGGAACTTCTGTTAACATTTTAAGCATCATAAAATTTCAGTTTTTCCTTCCAAACCACCACATAACCATGTCTTCACAGACAAAATCACAGAGACACCACTTCTATTGTCTTCTTAAGGCAAATTTGCAAATGGAGCTTGTTCAGATGACTGGCTTGCAGAGAGCATGATGTACCAACTGGTTTCTAAATATAGAGAAAGGTTGAATCTCCTCCATTACAATAAACCAAAGAACAATAGAAGTATTAGTGATACTGAAGCATCCATAATTAAAAGTCAAATGGTGAAATAACAAGCAGAAACAGGATGTAGCCACGGAATATGTAATTTGTGCAAATGGTTATTTTGAGTTCCTCTTTATAGGAAAAAAAACCTCTAAAATAACAGCCTACCAAACAACAGCATGTATACCAAAGTCCCATAATTTTAGTAAATTTGGTAATAGTACGCTACTTAAAGGAAAAACAAATAAAGCACAAAATGGTGAAGATTATAAAAGGCAAAGTTGTTTAATAGATGCTATGATTTACATATCTGGTGGTTTTTAAAAATTTAGAAGTAGTGATGGTCATTATCCACATCTGTATGACATTTGCATATGCCCTCTAGATTTTGAAGACAGTCGACTCTGTGTCCTTCCTTGGAGGCTTCCGAGGACTGATTTTTGGCAGTATCTCTTTGGCATACAGTGTCTTATGGAGTCCAGCTTCTCGAAGCGCTAACTCAAATCGAAGTCTAGGATCAGAAGTTATCTGCAGGTATAAAGTGCAATTTAAATAAACAACAGCTTATTTACCTGAAGCAAACCTATCACTGATGTTCATATTTTCCCAAGTTGTGTATCTTTTTAAGGTAGATGGTTAGATGACAATAAAACTTGTTAGTTCCGTGATTGCAGAGATTTTTTTTGGTTGCAGATGTTTTACTAAAAATGCCCAAACAATTTTTAACATTATCACTTTCCAGTACATTACTTATTTCCAACATTAAACATTATATAGTACTTTATATATATTAAAATTATTAAATGATGAAATAAAAGAACCTTACTTCCAGTACTTTGAATATTTATTGCTGACTAGAATAATATAAATAAAGTATTAAGAAATAAGTCTACTTTAGTGAATACAATTAATCTTTAGGATATATTTTAAGAAGCTATCACTAAAAAACTATTAAGTGTATGAGTGTGTGTCTGAATGCACATATATGCATCACAAGGGTATGTAGTACTTACAGAGGCTGGAAGAGGAAGTGACAATTTAGTTAAGGAAACTTCCATAATTAAAAGTCAAATTTTAAAATAACAAGCAGAAAGAATGTGGCTATGGAATTTATAATTCTTACAGATTGTATTTATGGTGAACACAACCTCCAAAATACATGATAACATAAGTAACAGGCACTCCATGATCTCTGTGAATCTGGCAATATTAACTCACAGAACAAGAGCTGCACAGAGTTGAGTTTCTAGGTTGATGTTGGGAGCCATTTGCAAGAGCCTCAAGTGCTCTAAACCACTAAGCCATCTCTTCAGCCCCCTGAACATCTTCAAACAGCCCCTTTAACTTCACTGTCAATTAGTAATGTGTATGTTATAATCACATGTGTTACTCCTTGAAAAAGAGACTCTGAGGCTAGATTTCTATTCAAACAGACCTGGAAAATGCCCTACCTGTATCATGCTAAGTGGGAGAAGACACACAATAGCTTAACTTCTCTTCTCATTTAGACTTGACTGAACCTTAGTCCCTTTCCTGCACATCTTAAATGTTACCACTCGGTGTCACAATAACAGGTGACCACATATGGATGTATACCCAGTGAGGCATTTTACCTGAATCTGAAGTCCAAACCCCATGAAAAGATAAGGTCTTACATAAGCTTTGGAAGCTAGCTTCCTCAGTGAGTTCTGAGTGAGTGTAAGTAATGAGTACAGATGACCTGTGGTTGTGCCTCACATGGCAAAACACGGGAGGAGGGGTGGGTTGGGAAAGAAACAGCTGGGCAGCTGTGAAATCTGACTTAACCTTCTTTGAATCAGAGAGGGGGGAAAAGAGATCTAACCAGACAGGGAGGCCTCACATACAAATGCTGAGATGAAGCAGGTCAATTTTGGGATCAGGGAGTTTGGACAGAACACTGTGCCACTGAGGAGCTCTGTCAAGAAATGACATTTAGACTGGGGTGGTGAATTTCATAGTCTTGACATCTGTCCTAGCTAGTGCCATGGCGTTTGTTTCTGCTTTTAGCATGAAAGTGTGGCTACCTAAGAAGATGGATCTTATTATAAAGTCAGAATAAACTAAAATGGCAGGAAAAGAAAGGATGTGGAAGGGGGAACAGTCAGGAGTCTACTGTGACTGTCTAGACATGAAGTAATAAATACCTAATTGTGTCCGGAAGCAGCAGAGAAGAACCAACTCTTACAAATACTCCAGATGGGAGATGCAATGGCAACCAATCAGAAGCAGGGCTGGGATAGGGATGCATTGGAAGCAGGGCTGGGGTAGAGGTGCATGTGAGGCCAGGACTAACCCAAAGGTCCTTGTTGGAGAAATGACCATGTGAACCTTGGACCCAGGTTTTTCCTTTTCTGTCCCTGTTTACTCTCTCTTGCTTCCAAGGAGTCACACTCTGTGTGATGTGTGCCACTACCTCCCAAATTCTGCGCAGGACTCACTTTTTTCTTTAACCCCAGGGCTATGAAGCTTTAATATTTTCCATTATCCATGTTTCTTAGTAAAAAGTAAATGAAGAGGGAAGATTTCTCCTCCCCAGAGGCCAGTAATCAGTTTCTCAAAAGCACACTTTATACCCCTTTGCCCTAAACATGACATGAACAAAACTAATTCTCCCCAGACTTTGTTTCCCTTCTGTATTCTTACATGGTTAATGGCAATAATCTGTTGAGTTACTGCTGAATGCCAGGCAATATTCTAGGCAGCAGATATTTATTATTTCTAATTCCCACAAGAACTTTGCAAGTAATTATTTTAAAGATGAAGGAAACAAGCAGAAAGAAGTTAATAGTTTAGGCAAGTGCACATAACCAGTAAATCAAGGGTGTGGCTTTGAATTCACAATGCATGCTCTTCACAGGGGCCCTTGTCTAGGTTGGAATTGTGCTCGTTTTCCTCATCCTTCCCCTCTCTGCAGTCAGAGCTGTTTACGACTCCTTCACCACCACTCCTCTACCCCAACATCCATCAATTTTCTATTTGGGATACAAGAATAAAATACAAATGCTGCTGGGTGGTAGTGGTGCGTGTCATTAATCCCTGCACTCGGCAAACAGAGGCAGGTGGATCTCTGTGAGTTTGAGGTCACCCTGGGCTACAGAACTAGTTACAGAACAGACAGAATAGTTACACAGAGAAACCCTGTCTCAAACCACCACCAGCCCCCCAAAAAACAAATGTCATTACTTAACTTAATCTGTTTTAAAATATCCTGTCTACACACAGGATCAAGTTCAGATGTCTGAGTAGAAAGACTTATTGTGACTCGCTGTTGGACCCTAGCCCATTTTACTCTCATGTTTCAGCACTTAGCCTGTGCCCCTGCCCCTCCCTCTGCCAGGGAAACCCTGGTGACTCGCTCCAGCGCCTTAGGACTTTGCCCTCCTCTGAGTTTAGTTAGCCCTCTCCGGTGAAGTTGCTCTCCACGTTTGGCAGCTGGTTCTGGAGATCTAGCCACACCTTCTTCTGAGGAATTCTCCCTATGCACACTAACCGGTTTACCCTTTAAACTGTCAATCACCTTGAAAGAATTTAGCAGCTATTGCCCCAAATCTTCAGGTTCAGATCTCCATCTCTCTAACCTGCCAGCAGAGTTAACCATTCATTCTCTCCCCATACACAGCACAGACCTGGCCTTACCCTTGTGCCTTAAATCTGTATACAGTACTCTCCTTCTTGACCGGCACCCTCTGCTCTAATCCTCCAGGAAGGATCAGGCTGGCCCATGTGGGATAGAGCCAAGAGCCACACTCTCACAAAGAACCGGAATATAGTTGTCTATTTCAGAAATACCCGTTTGACTATTAATGAATGAAAATGTCACCTTACTATTCACTGTCCCATATGCAGCACACAGGAGAGACGCTATGGATTTATTTGGCAATGGGTCTCAGGAGATTTCGGCTTTTTTCTCCCCAGGTCTATAAATTCTTGACTGCTTTCTCCCTTAATTTTGGTGATATCCATTCACTCATATGTCCTCTTTCCCATCCTCCTCCTGCTAAAAGTTCTTTAGAATCTCCCTTCTCGGGTCCAGCCACATCATAAACAAAGTCTGAGCTCCTACCAACAGCTTCGTGATCCCTCAAAGGCATTTCCACTGAAGATGTTTTCTCCTTAGCTCTAAACATAACCTGGGACAGCTGGCTTCAATCCTTCCTGTCAGTCTCATTGGTTGCTTATTTAATGGGATTTACATTGTGAATTTAGATATAAATTCGTAATACAATAGAGAAATCTTTGAACTGCAAACTAATATCAATAACCTTTTTTCATTTTTAATTTAAATTAGAGACAAGCTTGCTTCACATATCAATCCCAGCTCCCTCTCACTCCCCTCCTCCCCTGCCCCCCCCAACCAGGCTCAATAACCTTTTTATATCAATGAACGTTTGAAAAAAACGTTCTTTTTTTTAGCGATACACATGGTTTTAAATTGTTTTATGTCACAATTCTATAAATTTAAATTCATTCAGTAATTATGTATTGTCATTTAGAAGTAAAAATGTGCTAATATATAATGTATTTAAACATAAATCTTGAAAATAATTTGTAACTCAAGGCACACACTTGGGTAGTTCTTCCTACCCTCAGTGTGGACTTCGCACCAATGCTGCTAAGTCCCATAGGTACCTGCTTCTCATTGTATGTAGTCAATGTGAAGAGTGGCTTTTGAAGGATAAATTCATCTTCACTTCCAGTGCCCATCCTAGCTTTCCATGCCATTGTATCTGACATCATTCTAACTGGATCAGATTGAACAACAACAGCGACCTGAGAAAAGAGAAAGCATGGCCACTCAGAAGAGGGGACAAGATAAATGCTTCTGAGTAAGATTATAGGTTTGTTTAATGACCATTAAAGAAGTGTTATGAAATATAAAACTTCGGAGGAAAGAGCCAGGGATGTTAAATTCAGGCCACTTCTGGAGCTCTACAAAAGAATTCAAACACTTGTCAAATGATGCATTTAAATACCGTGATCATTCACTAACGATTAAATAGTCCCAATTATGATTGATTTCAGATATAAACTTATTTGTCTGATAAAAATCAAGTGGAATGCTACATAGAAAACCGGTATATCCCATCACCTTGAAAATGACAAAAAACAACAAAATTCATTTCAGCAGTCGATTTATAGTTATAAGTACCAAGACCGTGAGGCTTTCTGGTGAAGTTGATTGTGCCCTCATTACTGGACAAGAAGGGTGAACTTCAATCATGCTAGGCAAGTAGACTCCCTGGGACTATTAGAGATGAGTTACCTTTCTACTGTAAAACTGCAGAATCATTTTAATACAACGTCATTGTCCTACATAGTAATAGCAGCTCTGACCCAAAAATCTTAATGAAAAGAAACCATTAATTTTGTCAATCATATGTACCATTACTAACACCAGCTTGTTAATTCTGCAAGTCAAGTCAAGTAAATGGCATGTTAATGCCATTTCAAAAATATAATAAAATGACCAGGGTCAAATGTAATTTAATTATTATAGCTTTCCTAGTTCAAATGCTTATACTACACTTCTAAACACTGATTACAGGTGATGGAAACAGAAAACTTCTTCCTACAAAAGACTGGTAGATAGAAGGAATTCTAGTCACATGTAATCTGTAGTTATCAGTTATATTTGTAACAAGAATATATCCAGTAATTGTGACTTAAGTTTGTCTCCAGAAAGCCATAGTATGTAATTCTTTGCTGATTGAATAATCTATGTTCTTATGCCTTGAAGTCATCTCTACAACCCATTTTATTGCAGAGGATGCTGATGTGAGAGCTGTGTCATAGGAGTCCCAGTTGACACTTAGTAGCTATGTGACTTTGGAGAAAGCACCTGGCCTCTTGGTTTCTTCTTTTACAACATGTGGGCATTGAAAATACTTTCCTTGGAGGCATGCTGAGGAGCATTGGAACAAGTCTTTGCAGTTAGTAAGTGCTAACAAATTTGATCTCCAGTTACTGCAACCAATGGGGCAGGGGGTACCATTATTATTCCCATCTTCCAGATGAGGAAATGGAACCAAGGCAGGTGAAATAAACAACTCAAGTTTTTCCTGCCATTGAGCACTGCCAGCTGTTGCAGAGCTGAAGGACACCCAAGGTCAAGTCTCATCCAGGACTCTGTAGGACTTCTACTCACTTAGAAAGGAAAGTACACAGCCACTTCCTATTGACTAGGCTGTGCTGTTACCAGTCCAAGAAATCATGGGGGAGTCAGAGTTTAGAAAAATTACCAGAGAAACCATCTCTCATTTCCCAGTCTCTTAAATCCCTGCGTTTGCCATGTACTGTCTACTTCCATCCACTTTTGCCTACTTTTATTAGGCAAGGCAATGGGAGGACTTTATTTCTATACAGAAGGGGTATTTGTAAAGTGGTACTTAACAGGCTTGTTGACTGTGGGATTGTTCCCAGCAAAGGTTCCCACTCCATAGTGGATTATCTTGCTCTACCACATTTTTTGAGGACAGTCCTTTGACTGGAAACAGTTTCACTGCTGCAAACAAATACTGTCTGGATAACAAACTAGGGGAGATATGTACACATTTAGACCTTGGGAGAGCTTTTTGAATGCTGTAGATAAACTTCTTTAAATATATTAAGAATTAAATATATTTAAATATATTAAGCTGGACCTGATTCAACATAAACCTAACTGACTCCTGGGAATGGAAATCATGTCCTAGTTTGGAAGAGTTACATTTTATATAGCAGATGTCATGAACTTAGTCCCAATAATAATATCATTAGCACACATACAGACATTAAAAAATTTTCCAAATTGGAAACACCTGTTTTCGAAGGGTTTCCAGGCGCCTCTCTCTCTCTTCTTCTTCCTGAACTTCTTGAAGGGCCATTTTTTGTCTCTCCATCAAACGCTTCTCCAATAATTCTTGTCTATATTTAACCCTTGGGAAAAGAGACACAGTACAGGTAGGTGTGCCATAATTGACTCACACAGAACACAGATAAGAGTGCAACCGGAGACATCTCAGAAGGGACCTCTCCCCCACCAGTTGATTCTACTTGTTTTGATTTCTCATATCCAAACAATGAGGAGGAATTTACAGTAATTCTAGTAACCAGAGAGATACTGGAAAGCCTGGAGCGAAACCCAGCTGAGCTCTGTGTTTGCGGCCACCATTTAAAACACTGACCCTGCCAGCAAGCTGCCAAAGCTACAGCTGCTGTGCCCTGAGCTGCTGTGCCCTGAGCTGCTGTGCCCTGAGCTGCTGTGCCCTGAGCTGCTGTGCGCTGAGCTGCTGTGCGCTGAGCAACAACCACCCAACCCTGAGTTATGACCCAGCCTTCTGATGGCAAACTTGAACAGAACTCGGGCAGTTAGAAAGATTGCATCCCTGAATAAATGCACATACTTTTAGAAAGCAGGGCAAAATAAATTACTGTAATAATGCGCTTAAATTATTTAGGTTACTATTACTTTAACCACGCTTCATATATGGCGTGGCTTAGTGAAGAAGGCTTGTGGGCATGGTAAGACACTTTAAAAATTGCACTCTGACATCTGTAGATGGCAGCAAAAACATGACGTTTTCCCTTCAGCATTTCTTTTCCATATCCTTTCAAATCATTAGACATTAAAATGTGGTCCACTATGAGCTCACCTAGCCCTCTCTGCTGCCTGTATTGGAGTAGCCTCGATTATTGCTGTCTTCATGTTAAAATGATTCTATTGACTTACAGAGGTGAGATGCACCATTTTACAAAAGCAGGCACCTGAGCTCTCAGGAGGATTAGGTTATGCTGGCTTTCTCTCAGTGACAGCTTAGGTTTAACTCGCTTTGTCGCATTAGTCACAAGTGCCCTTTGCCCTTAGTATACACAACAGTATTTTCTATGGCGGCATTTCCGCTAGACCTTCTGTGATGTGGGTTCTGATATTCACTGAGTGCTCATGAGGCAAAGGTCTTGTGCTAAGTGCTTTATGATTTCTTTTTTAGGCTTCACAATAATCAGGTAGGGGTATAATTTTGTATGTATAATTTTGTCTTTTAAAGATACAGAACAGAGGCTCAGACAAATGGTGTAATTTGTCCAAAGCCTCCTGCTCATTAAGTAGCAGAGCAGAAACATAACCCGGAATGACTGTTCTCAGCACACAAGCTTAGCCTCCACCCCCTACCCCCTGCAATTAACCTCTGTGCAGTCCTCCTCCCTAGATCTCTCCTCCTACACCAATTGCCCCTAAACACCTCCTGTGCTAGACAGTGTGGGCATGCTGAGAAAAAGTCCTTTTTGGACGTTTATAACTTAACATAGAAGCAAGATGTGCGGAAGAACCAAACAAAGAGTTTTCAGGGAGTACAAATATGGTTCCCTGGAGTTAGAGAAAATGGGATGGCCACTTGTTGGAATGTTGGGGGCACAGTTCAGGCGGTAACAAAAGCTTCATGGAGGAGGACTTTGGGGAGGCAAGGAGTGTAGGAACAAAGAGGATGGGGCAGTCAGTGTGGGGTTGGCACCCAAGAGTGGGCACCTTTCTTGTCTTATCCTAATCACAGAGAGCATGGGGCAGAGTAAGCAAATGGTGGCAGGGAGGTACAGGAAAGCCATGGTGGTCTGAGCCCGCCAGTCATACCGTTCCCTCACATGTGCTTCTGGGAGAGATGCTCTGGGCGCTCTGCTTGCTCAGGAACTGGCAATATAGGAGAAGCTCGGGGAGGGAACAGAAGGAAAGCATGTAAAACAGAAAAGTCACAACAAGATCTGAGAAGGGCAATCTCAGCCTTCTTCGGAGGCCATGGCCATACTATTCCACTCTTATGTGTCAGGAGTCAGTAGCAACCCAACCTGTGAATCAAAGGGTCACAGATCAGCAGGCTCCCTGCCTCCCCTGCCTCCTTGTGGGAAACCGTGTTTCCCATTCTCTCCATTTCACTAAGGCGTGACATGACACAACCTCCTTAATGAGGTTCTACTCAATTTAAGCACTGAGTACAAGCTAAGTGAACTTCTGCAAAGGTTCAATTAAAAGATACCCTGGGACTTGCCAATTACCATATGCTAATTCTCAGAACCTTGGAAAGTTTCTCTTCCTGTGGGATCTATAGGTTGCTTTGTCTGCAACAAAGTTTTTGTCTGCTTTGTGGGATAGTAATAGTCGTTCTTGCCAGGGGAGGTTGACTAGTGAGGAAGAAACTGCAAATGAGACTATGGCATTTATTTATGCTTGTATCATGGCGAAGGCTGTGACAGTTCATGTTGAGGCTCATTTTCCACTTAATAGATATTTATTGAACTCAGTGCTAGTCATGAATGAAATATTGCATCAGGCATGTGCAATCAACATGGGTGATAAGCTCCCATCTTTGCACAGCAGACACTCCAACACAAGTTTCAAGACGGGGAAACTGTGAAAGGGAGCTTGGGGGGGGCTTTGATGGGACAATGAGGCAGAAGCCATTGGGGGAGGCACCTCTGCCAGACTTGGGAGTATGTCTGAGAAGTATTGTGAACCTGAGACCCAAAAGAGGGATCCCTTCCAGCCAAGGGGCAGAAAGCAGGAGTGGACTAGGAAGAAGCAAGTACCATACGCAAGTCTAGAGATGAGAGACCATGTTAGGTTTGAGGAATTGAAGAGAGACCCAGTAAGACCAAACACCAATGTGGAAAGATGAAGGGCGACATGGACTCAGGCTGAAGGGGTAGGATAGCCACACCGTGGGGCTTTGCCAGCAGCAGAGAGCACTGACTGCTGCTCTTCACAAGGTCCTCAGTCCAATTCCCCCAGGAACCACATGGTGGCTCACAACCCTCCATAACAGGATCTGATGCCCTCTTCAGGAATGCAGGGCTACATGCAGAGCACTCACATGGAATTATGTATGTATGTATGCATGAATGTATACATATATATAAAGTTAAAAAGATTTCCTTTTAAAAAAACAAAGAAATGGAGTATGATTCATTTCTAAAAAAAAAAAAGAGCACTTAAGAAAGGGGACAAAGGAAGAGGAAACAACTTAAGGAAATAAGGAGGATAAACTAAGCAGCCCCAAGAAGGTAAGACAAATGATATCTAAAATGTCAAATGTTACAGAAAGACTGACTGTTATCCAAAGCTATTATTGCACTGAATTAACTGTGGGGAGTCACTGGTGATGCTGGCAAGAGCAGACAGTGGTGAGGTGGCTGAAGACTTCAAGGGGTCAGGAAGAAGGAGAAAACCTTTTGGTAAGACTGATGCAGGTGGGAGCCAGGCACGGGGCGGGGCTGCAGAGAGCCCAGCTCCACAGGGAATGTACTTAAGGTTATCCAGACAGCCTTGACCTTTGAGAAAATTCAAGGGCATGGACAACACAGTGATTCTAAATTCTTACAGATGCTGTGGCTTAAACTCAAACAATGCTTTGCTTAAACGAGGAAGACTCCTGGCGCTACTTTGGCTCTGGATAGAAAACTGTCTTTTCCTGAAGAGAAGTGATGCAGAAAAGAACTCTTGGGAGAAAGCCAAATACTCACATATTCATGGGGAAAGAAAATGGCAACACAGTAAAGCCAATCATTTGGAAAATTTTCCACATAAATACTTTTAGTCATTTGAGGTAGCAGATTTTCTCCAAATTAAACTGTTGCTATGAAAGTCAATGTCAGGAAATGGCTAAACTCAATAGTTCTTAGGCTGTGCACTGAATCCCCAAACAGGAGCCCGGCATTCATTTCTCACTCCATTTTACGCTCCCTGCGTCTACAAAGGTGGAAAGTGCTGCAGAAGAGGCATTTGTAACTTCTCTTGGGGGAGGAGAGGCATTGTATTGTTCACAAGCAACAGCTGCTGCCAAGTCAGGCCAGACATTCACAATAATTTGAGGAGGACTTTAAGCTTGCCGGCCTTTGGGAGGCTGGAGGGATGGTAAGCCCTTGTGTAGAAGAAGAGAACCTGTGTATCACTGAGGAGACATGAATATCTACTGCACCCTAAGAAATGAATGAACCTCAAGGTGCAGCAACAATGCCTGGTGTTGGGGAGCCCTCAGTAAGACCTAGGCAAGCTTACATGTGCAAATCTAGGTCTTCCTCCTACCTGGAATCGTGGGGATAACTGCAGTCTAACCAGCTATGGCAAACAAGGCTTGCCAAGAAGGGAACACATGGGCAAGCACTTCAGTTAAGAAACAAGAATATTATCATAGTATAACATAAGCAGACGGTGAATTAGAGCAGAGAGGCAGAGTTTTAGTTAGGGTACAGAAACCAACACTGAATTCCCCACTCCCATGCACTGGGAAAATGATTTGCTCCATTGAAGTAAACTCTGTTTATAAACAAACTTCCTCCATAGAATTGAAGCCATGAGCTTGAACATTCAACATGACTGTTAAACAGGTACCTGCCGCGGTCTCCCCGCCAGAGGGACACTTCAGCAGAACCATCTTTGAGATGGGATTTTACCAGTTGGGACATCCATCTGAGTTCAAACCTCACTCAGAAGATTATCCTTCCATTCCACCAAATGGAGGAGAGCCTCCCGTTAGCAGTAGGGTACCCAGAGAACAACGTGTAAATCAAAACAGAGGTGAGTCAGGAGCCAACTCCTTCCCAAAAGGAGTCTGTCCAAAGCGAGCACTGAAACTCCGGACCACAACACTGTGCTTCACCCCTCCAGCCCCACGGAAGGGGAATCAGCCCCACTCAACTCTGGTGGGAAGAGCATTGGCAGAGACCGATTCCCACAAGGGGTTGGGTGAGTCCTGACTCAAGGCAGTGACACCCTGGTGCAGATGTGCCTGAGATGAGAACAAAGCACATCTGCAGAGGCAGGAATGGATGGACCAGGCAAGCCCCAAGCATAGGTCATTCTTCAGCTCGTTCCTTTGCAAGACTCCTGGAACCCAGTTCCCGGCTGAGTATCGATACAATTCATCAACACTGCTCACTTTTCACATCCT